GTTACATAGGGGATTCGATAGGGGAGTATTATAGGGGTTAGTAAGGGGGATACTCGGAGTTTAGACTACAGCTCCTATGGATGCACCTGCCCCACTCACCATTCCATTCTAATTGCTAGGGGAGGGGCTTGTCATCAGCCTAGATCCTAAACTATTACATGGTCGTTTCCCAAAATAGGGGGTACCCCAATTTAGACCCCAAACATTAAAGCCCTTGTTATTGGGACCCCTAATTTTGGGACACCCCCATATTATCATTGCTACGGGGAAGGAGGAGATTGCCATAAGCATGAAGATCTCTTTGCCTTGGACAGCCTTCGTCAGGTGCGGCCTCAGCTGGACGCGCGCATCTCCGCTCTACTGACAAAGCCGGCCGTCAGCAGTGATCTGCAATTGCTGAAAAACAGCTGTTATGAGTATGATTTGTAAGTGTAATTAGTATTAGTATGATAGTTGCGGTTATTCTCTTTCCTAGTACTATTTGTATTTGTGTTACTCCTAGTATTTCTATAACATTATTTATATCGTCATTATTACTCTTCTTATTGCTGCCATTGTTGCGTTATGTCTGCGCCCTGTCACTTTCCTTGCTTTGCAAGGTTTGGTGCCCTTGCAACGCTCCCTGAAGCAGTCGAGCGTGCCCCTGGCACGATTGCGCAGGATGAAGTCTACAATCGCCCTACATCCTAAAGCTCAAAACCTCAAAAGAAAAGGTCAAAAATCAAATTCGGGTTTCCAAAAAAGTGTGGGTCCCTAGGGACCGCATAGGGATATCTTGCGATTATAGGACCCCAAAACCATTACATTACTAGTACTTATTGGGGATGCCAAGTTATAGTCCCCCTGTGTAGATAGAATATGGGGTATATGGGGGACTATATTCAGTAATTCCCATTATGTGTAAACGCGCACACCGCTCTCTGCCGAGCGAGGAGAGCCGGAAGCGTTTACTATTATTACATGTTGCTATATGTATATATATATATAGATGTATAGATGCATATATGTGTATGTTGGGATGTTTAGGGGTTATATAAAGTTTAGGGTTTCCCAAAATTCGGGGTACCATTTTGGGGAGTGCCATAAAGAGGATTATAGTATTTTCGGATCTATATTGTGGTCCCCAATTTGGGGAGACTACCATATATGTATATATGTATTATATATATATATCTATACAGCTACATATGATCTTTAGCCTAAACTCCTGAAAGGGAGTTGTAGGGGATGGTATAGGGAGTATTATAGTAGGGGGTTAATTAAAGGGGATGCTAGGAGTTTAGATTATAGCTCATATGTATATACATATATATGCTATACAAAATCTGTACAAGTGTACTCAGTCAACTGGTTCGCGTTCTCAATCCGCACAAAGGAAGCTCTTCATGAAGCAATGCCGCAAAGGCATTAGCATTGTCTAGGCGGCGGAACCATGATTGCTGTGGCAAGTTTCCAGGACATTCCTGCTTCAACTCGCAGTCAGATTCAAACTGAGAGTATGGAATGTGAAGGATTCTGTTGCTGCTCAGAAAGCAGTACAAGCCTTGGATGGCTTTGACTGGAGAAGCCTGGCCCCTTGCTTCGGCCATGTGCAGCCTGCAGCCAGATAGCACGTACATGTGGCCAGTTGAGGATTTTCCATTATCCCTATAAAGCCCCTATATAACCTTTATATAACCCATTATGGTAGTTTCCTTTGTATTTTCCAGTATCCCTATATAACCCATATATACCACAGCATCAGGCTCAGAAGCCAGCGCAGCGAGTGCACCAGCAGTCTTGAGCTGAGCTATGCTTGGTCAAAGAGAATGGAAACTACTATATTATATAGGGCATACATATATATATATAGGGACTATATAAGGATAATGGAAAAGAAAATGGAAACGACTATATCATATAGATAGGTATAGTTTGACGCGCTGTTGAAGGCCCATGAGTGCTTCAGCGCCAAGATCCTGGAAGATGATGAGGCCAGCGAAAGATGTCATTCACACTTGCTCAACTCAGCATCCTGGAGGCTACTCTCGGGCTCCTACCCTCAGGCTTCGCGCAAAGCGTAAAAAATGCATTCAGTGGAGGGATAATGGAAAAGAAAATGGAAACTCCCATAGTATATTAGGGTTTTATAGGGATAACGAAAAGAACATGGAAACTCCTATAGTTTATTGGAGGGCAGAGCGCGCACCGAAGGTGAGAGCAAGGAGCTCGGAGAGGGCCGAGTAGATTCAGGCATCGGGGGCATATGAGCGTCTAAACTCCTTAAAGGGGGTTATATAGGGGATTATATAAAAGGGCTTCTTAAGGGGGATGCTAGGAGTTTAGATTATTGCTCATAGGAAGTCTTCATCATCCTCTGCTCCCAAGTTGTTAATTTCTTGGTAGAAATGTAAAATAAGTTACCAGAATCTGGGTGACCATATATGGGGGTAACCATAGTTCTATATACTAAAGAATGGGGTTTCCTAAGTATAGCAACCCTAGACCCTAATCCCTAAACCCTAATAAATCTCATATACCCCTTCATACGGCAGCACATATATATATATAGATATCCTATAGTCACTTAATGGAAGTTCCTTGGCAGCAACCCACTTTCACGCGGTCAGGTGGGCCTTCCTCGCCCTCCCCCGTCAAGACTCAGAGCATCCCGGCCGCAAGCTCTGAAGCTAAATGCCATGGTCCAAAGTTGCTGCTTGGTGGTAGGGAATAAGGGAATACATTC